GGTGTTTCTTGTTTTGCAAGCTTTGTGAGTTATAGTCGCTTGAAAGTCGTCTTATGTGGTCAATGCGAACTTGTCTGCTTCAATAGTGTCAATGTAAGATGATAGGATAGAGAGATATAGTGTGCACAACGATGAGGTCGATGTATCTTCATTTGCCTATTGTACTCGTTATATACCCTTCAAAGTGGTCTGATATGGTCACTGTAGTCGTATCTGCTTCAACTGTATGCATGTCAGATGTTATACTGCAGAGTTACAGTGTGAACATAGTCGAAGTCAAAGTTTCTTGTTCTGCAAACTCTATGCGTTATACCCGCTTGGGAGTCGTCGTATATGGTCAATGCGAACTCGTCTGCTTCAATAGTGTCCATGTGAGATGATAGGATAGAGATATATAGTGTGTACGACGATGAGGTCGTTTTATTCCCATTTGCCTATTGTACTCGTTATATACCCTTCAGAGTCTTCTCATACGGTAACTGCCATCGCATCTGCTTCAACTGAATGCAGGTCAGATGCTGGACTGCAGAGTTACAGTGTAACATAGTCAAAGTCGGAGTTTCATGTTCTGCAAGCTGTGTGAGATATATACCCGCTTGAGAGTCGTCTCATACGGTCAATGCAAACTTGTCTGCTTCGATAGTGTCAATGTGAGATGATAGGATAGAGAGATATAGTGTGCACAACGATGAAGTCGATGTATCTTCATTTGCCTATTGTACTCGTTATAAACCCTCCAAAGTCGTCTTATACGGTCACTGCAATCGTATCTGCTTCAACTGTATGCATGTCAGATGCTAGCTTGCAGAGTAACAGTGTAAACATAGTCGAAGTTTCTTGTTCTGCAATTCGTGTGCGTTATGCCCGCTTGGAAGTCGTCTTATATGTTCGATGAGAACTTGTCTGCTCTAATAGTGTTCATGTGAGGTGATGGGATAGAGATAGTGTGTACGACTGTCACAACAATGTAGTTGTTAGTATAGTGGATGATTACACCATGTAACGATAAAGTAGGTGGTTAGACCATCCATATCCATTTATATCGATTTATAAGGGGTTTGCTTAGCTTAATATTTTGCGAGATGATAATATTCAAATAGGCACTAATAGTTTAAAGGTAACTGAAAGTACGAGACTATATTCAAAGATAACAATATGTATTGAAGCATGAAACATTATGGGTGAAGTGATGACAAATATGAATAAACAACAATGAATATAAAGACCTAACAACAACTCACATTATGACGACCATACGAAGAGCTCTTGTCAAGTCAAGAGTAGCCCCAGACCAGACTAACTTCGGAACCCTCACATCCAATATTTATATACATTATTTTATTAGATTTGCACGTTTCTCATAAAAGTTCCTTGGTCAGTTTTCATAGTTCAATGTCAATGGATGATTTGATTAATTTTATGTTTATAAAATCCTCATGGTTCCAAATTACTAATATACTGTATGTTCTACTCGTGCCATGTGCCTATTTTACTCGTTATATACCCTTCAAAGTCGTCTCATACGGTCACTGCCATCTAATCTGCTTCAACTGTATGCATGTCAGTTGTTTGACTGCAGAGTTACAGTGTAAACATTGTCAAAGTCGGAGTTTCTTGTTCTACAAGCTTTGTGCGTTATTCCCGCTTGGGAGTCGTCTCATATGGTCAATGCAAACTCGTCTCCTTCAATAGTGTCAATGTAAGATGATAGGATAAAGAGATATAGTGTGCACAACGATGTATCTTCATCTGCCTATTGTACTTGTTATATACCCTACGAAGTCATCTTATACGGTCACTGCAATCGTTTCTGCTTCAACTGTATGCATGTCAAATGCCAGACTGCAGAGTTACAATGTAAACATAGTCGAAGTCGAAGTTTCTTGTTCTGCAAACTGTATGCATTATACCCGCTTGGGAGTCGTCCAATATGGTCGATGTGAACTTGTCTGCTTCAATATTGTCCACGTGATATGATAGGATTGGACGATATAGTGTGCACAACGATGAAGTCGATATATCACCACTTGCCTGTTGTACTCGCTATATACCCTTCAAATTCGTCTTATATGGTCACTGTAGTCGTATATGCTTCAACTGTATGCATGTCCGATGTTATACTGCAGAGTTACAGTGTAAACATAGTCAGAGTTGAAGTTTTTTGTTCTGCATGCTGTGTGCAATATACCTGCTTGGAATTAGTCTTATATGGTCATTGTGAACTTGTATGCTTCGCTAGTGTCCATGTAAGATGAATTGATAGAGAGATATAGTGTGCACAACGATGAAGTCGATGTATCTTCATTTGCCTATTGTACCCGTTATGAACCCTTCAAAGTCGTCTTATACGGTCACTGCAATCGTATCTGTTTCAACTGTATGCATGTCAGATGCTAGACTGCAGAGTTACAGTGTGAACATAGTCGAAGTCGAAGTTTCTTGTTCTGCAAGTTGTGTGCGTTATCCTCGCTCAGAAGTCGTCTCATATGAGCATTGCGAGCTCATCTACTTCAATAGTATCCATATGAGATGATATGATAGAGAGAAAGAAAAAGCACTCCGATGGAGTCGATGTATCTTCATCTGCCTATTGTACTAAACTTTCTATATTCGCTTCAAAGTAATCTTATATGAGTAGGTATTGGGATGGGTTTGACAGACAAGGTGGGGCGTGGCCTAGGCGGGGCGTCAGTTAGGGATGTGGGGTAAAGTCTAGCAGGGGGTGAAGTAATAGAGGGGGAAGTGGGGCGGGGCTTGGCCCTGATTGGTCGTGGGTGGGGTCATTGTTCTCATTGGCTGTTGGGATTGTCTTATGGCCGACGTGGGGGTTTACCTTTCAAGGTGATTGATGGCTGGGGTCTTGCTTGGACTGGATTGGACGAGGGTGGATCTAATTTTCACATTGGCTGTTGGAATGTCTGATGACTCGACGTGGTGATGATGATGTATGAAGGATTTCATGAAGTGATTGATGCTGGAGTGGGTGCTGTCTTATGGCCGACGTGGAGGTTTACCTTTCAAGGTGATTGATGGTTGGGGCCTTGCTTGGACTGGATTGGACGAGGGTGGGTCTAATGTTTACATCGGCTGTTGGAATGTCTGATGACTCGACGTGATGGTGATGATGTATGGGGGATCTCGTAAAGTGATTGATGCTGGAGTGGGTGGTGAGGAAGAGATATTACAGGCTTTGGGAGGCGTATAGTTGATATGTTAGGTATTTATGAGGTGATATTAGGTGCTATCATGGATGTGAGGTATGTTTTGTGGTGTATAAATCTATTGGACGAGGGTGGGTACAAATGTTTACATTGCCTGTTTGATTGTCTGATGGCTTGACGTGGGGGATGTACCTTCCAAAGTGATGATGTATAGTGGGTTTCGTGAAGTGATTGATGCTCCTCTATTTCCTTATATCTCTCTACATATTCCTTCATTGTGTTGAATGTGGATTCAACTATTTTTCAAATCATCATTTTCCCTTTCTCTGTTCCGAAACAAACACACACACACACACACATACTTGTCTGTGTAGCTTTGTGGCACCCCGACCTTTACACCCAATTGTGGCGCTTTTGATGCCTGCTAGAGTACGCATGGTAATTTAAATTACGAATTGAATGCGCTAGGTGGCGCACATTCACCCTCCGTAGTTTCCGAGATGAATATACATTCAGTAGGCGAGCATGTGGCATCCGTTGCCACATTTAATGCATTCATCTCAGAATGTGTTACGGATTCCACATGAAATATATTTGCTTTGTAGTGTGTGAAGGATGCAACATGATCAAGGTGTGTGTCAAAAATTCCATTGGGCTCAAATACAGATCAGTCATGAATCGTGATTTTGGAAATTATTAATGCATTCGAAAGTTTGTTCAATTGAAAAGAGACATTATGAGATCTTGAAAATTCACTATATTTTGGAGCCAGGTGTCATGAAATATATATTTCTCAATTAACTAGTAGATATTTTGGAAAGAGATGATTTTTAAATTTCTTTAACTATCTAATGAACTAGTTCAATTACTCAATAATTTATGGGTACTGTTCGTGAGATGAGTAGTTTAAATGCTGGTTGAAGTGGTAAAGTAGTTTCTGCTTCCATTCGTACCATTTATATGAAATGAAGTTATTAAATGGGTGTATCTTGGAGAGTGCAAGGTGAGTCATTGCTACTTTACTTATCTCATGATGATTTATTCATACAATCTTGCTTAGTATTACAGATGCGAAAAAAAAATGTCGCACAAACATGAAATACAAATGACAAGGGTATGGTTGAGAAGACATACGCATATCACCTGCAATTCTCGCTTTTGTTCTGAACAAAAAAATCAAAAATTCTCACAATTTTCACAAAAATAAATTCGAAAACTCAACTCTTTTCAGTAACATAATATTCATACTCTCGAATGTTGAGAAAACGTAGGCAAATACTCAGAACAACTGTTACAGTTATTATACCATGTACTGAAATGATGTATTGTGGTACAAAGGCAGTAAATGAGCTCGATTAGCTGGAAGATGAGGGCTGCTAAAACGTTTTGGTGACCTAATTGTTTCTTGCCTATCAAGAATACACAGAAAAAGAGATTATACATAAATCTTTGATTTCATGAGATTTGTTTGGTTCTCTGGATTCCAAACTTAGATTCACACTGACTTCTTATGGAGAATTTATGTGGAACAGCAGGAAACGCGCCACGCAAATGACAGTCAAAGGTGCCCAGATAGTGAAAAACTTGAAAATCGTTCTTTGGGCTGCTAAACTCATTACAAAACGATTTTGTAGTTTTCCACTATCTATACACCTGTATTTAACTTGCGTGATGCGAATTTTCGCATTTCACATAAATTTTTGTTGATTGTCAGTGTGCATCATAGTTTGGAAGCAAGAAAATGAAAAATTTCATGAAATCAAGGATTTTTGTTCAGCTAATAGCCACAGGCTACTGAAGCTCATTTTCTGCCCTTGTGACACAATATACTATGAAATTTCAGTTTCGATTTTTCTTATTTCTTGTTATTACATTCTTAACGAAAAATTTAATATCAGTCCATGATCTACTGCTGAGTATATTGTCATGATCATGTTTTATCATCGTACACTTAGCCTTTCCTGGTACGATTCCTCTTTTTATTCCAATTTTGAATTCGTTCAACAAAACTTCCTTCTCAGAATGATTCCACGGAACTCTTCCTAGAGCTGCCTCCCTCTTCGTCCTTTTTGGTTTGGTGGTTTCTAAGTAAAAAAAAATTAGCTGAAATTCCTTATGTTATAAACTTACTGTTGTACAGAGTGTTCCTGAATGTTATGTACATATTGGAGGAGGTAACTTCTTGGCTTTTTCTGGGAATAAAAATAAAAATATAAAAATGTCTTCTCACTGCCCTATTGAAATTTCCATCAGCTGTCACACTTCGAATTTATTGATCTCTAGGTACTTTGTGATCCGATAGAATATATTTGATTTTTATGAAGTGGTTCTTAAGTTTTTCAGGAAAGAAATATCATCTCCATTTTCAACACATTGTATATAGAAGACAATCAAGTCAGGACATGTTTATGTGAGCTTCATGAAAAAAAAAAAACATGGAATCGCATTTCTCAATATGTACATGACATTTAGGAACACCCTGTATAACAATTTGTATAGATATTATGAAGTCGTAGACAAAATATTGCTTTGCAAGTTACTGTAAATTTTATAGGTTATTCAGTGAACTACTTCGTGAAGATAATTTTCGAATCTACCCAAAAGTGAAATTAAGTGATGTTTCCACACATTGCCCTCATTACCCGAATTTGACTAATATATACACCTACTAGGTTTTTGTTTCGCTTTTTCAAGTGATGGTTCTGATGGTAATTCTATTTCCATTTTGTTTGCTGAATCCCCAGCACTGACCCTTAGAATTCCTTCATTGCTTTCATCATCAGCTTCATCATTTCCATCTAAATCAGGCGGATCTTCTTCTATAGGTGGCAAATCTAGAAGAATATTCATTGATGTTGACTCAGTTTCGTGCACCATTTTCAGTATTTATCCTAATCCAATACACACACAAAAATTGCGATGGCACTTTACAATACCCTCATATGTTCTCAAAAATAACGCCTGTCAGATCTCACTATTTTGGTAGTTTATCTCCAAAATCCCGCCAAAATGACTCACTTGTGAGGTTATCTTATTTTCTGTTGAAGATCAACTGGATGTTCCAGATTCAGCAGAAGAATAAGGAGATGACAAACTCCAGCCGCTAGCGAAACCCTTCTACTAGTTGTGAGGTTAATGGGTGTTCAATGTTATTGTTCATCCACTAAATAATTTCACTACTAGGTACTATCATTATATTGCGAATGTTTTGGATATTTTCACCATGTAATCAACAGATTTGAACCAGAATAAGCTTCCAATATAGATCGAACCGACGAGAGGAGATTGGAGTGGCATCATGGGTAAGTAACTATTGAGAAATGATTTTTCTATTAATATTTCCTTATTATTTTTCAGGTATGCAGCATCCTTGAAGCACTCGAAAGGAAGATGACAGTTCAAGCATGATCAATAAACAATCAGTATAACGATCGAATAAATGTTTTAGATAACTCTGCTTATTGTCTTGGCTCTCATATACCTGCTTATACATATCAAAGTGAAACCGTGAAAACTTGTCATGTTATAATACATTTTCTCATTTCTCCAATATTGCAAAGTCTTAATAAAATAGTAACCGTTCAACCATTCATCATTGTTAATGAGAATAGGTTTCGCGTAGTATCAAGTTTCCATATAGATACTATCCGTAAATTTTCAAAATCTGTTCATTTGGAAGGTGCTCGAATTTGTCTCGCAATGTCAGACGGAATTTGCTAGCTTTTTCCAAATAGAACACCCAGTTTTTTTTTTCCAAATTGATAGCATCACTTAAATCCTTCGCAATCATGAAATATATTTTTCATCGATTGCGACGTTGTCAAATTGCTTTCATGCATTTTAGATAAAGAATCAATCATTATCAATAATCGATAAAGGAACTTGTGATTCAATATTATATTCTCGATTATATCGGACAATTTGATATTTGGGAGAAAATCAGTCATCTTGGAGAAAAAGGAGACTTCGAAAAACTTCTTCATTTGGCGACGATTGAGTTATCAAAGAAATATAACATGATTGTGAAGAGTCTTTGTGAAGAATTAGATTCTTGAATGAATTGCTTCCTGAATTAACAGATCATAAAAATTAAAAGATAGTGTCTGCATTACCTTGATACTACTGCACGTGAATCATTTATTCTCAACGATGATGAATGCTTCAATTGTCAGTTTCTTATCATAACTTTGCAATAGTAAAAAGATCAGAGCATCAGTTGACAAACTTGACAAACTGCAAACAATTTGAGCTCTTCATATGGGGTTGAAAAAACATCAAGAAGAAGGATGCATCATGAATTGGAGGAAGTAGATTATTTCTTATAGAATGAGTTGGGTTCAAGTGCCTCAGCTTCAGTAGAACACCCTGTACAGTTGGAAGTAACTTCTAATTATGCCTTATCAAAAACTGTGAACCCTCCTTCTTGAAATTTTGTGTGTGTAGTAGCTTACGAGATATCGAAGAATTACGCAACAAACTGTTTTTTAACACCTCGTTCTCAATCAGCTGCCTTTCAATATTGAAGGTAAAAATAATCAAAATTTGCCTCACCTTGTACTTGAATATCCTCTAGAGATTTTCCAGCAAATGTATGTGCTTTTCCTTGGTCAACTGCCAAAAGCAACCTGCTGACTTTGGTTAGCTCAACTGTATTTTCATGGAGACGGTAGAATTCACGATGGACCCTAATATCGTGACCCAAATGTCTCGCTAGCCAATCACACTCGTTCTCTTTGAGATTGAAAACTTGACAAACGGTAGCTACGTACTTTCTTAACTTTGTACTTGTTATCGTTTCTGGCGACTCTAAGTTTGCTTCAGAACACCATTTTTTTATGCAATCGTGGCCTCTCATATAGGAATGTAATTCACCTAACCGTGCAAACACGAAAGGATTTCCCTCGGGCACTCCCACTTCTATACGAGTTGCCAGTAGAAAATCGATAGATTCTTTCATTTCTTCAGTGAGCAAGACTGGTACTTTTCTTCCTCGCTTTCCTACTATTTCTACAACCGTTAAGGCACTAGCTAACTGATTTTCAAATTCCGTCAAAGATTCTCTCATTTCTGCTACACTTTGACTTTGCCATGCCGGTCTGTTAGTGTAGTTCTCAACTCTCATTCTTGCAGCTTCTCCTGATCTTCTTTTATTGAAAAGAATGATACGGCTCAAGGTGAGTGATGCTAGTTTACTCCAATTTTGAAAACTCTTTTCTCTTTTCATGTCATTCTTAGTTTCTCCGATCATAAATTCTAAGAACTTGCTCAATTTGATCAAATCACCAGTAATTGGAAGTAAATCAACGGAATTGAGTTTTCTAGATTGCAGAGTAGCTAATGCATTAGATGAGATTCTGACGCTCCACTCCAAATCCAAAATCGACAAAAAACCTAACAGTATATCATTTCTTTTCAGGTCACCCTTCCGCAAACATAAACCTCTTTCAATCCCAATGCATTTTCTGACAGAATACCCAATTTTCAGCGCCAAAGATGGAATTCCAAATTCAGTCCTTTTCGCTACTTTGGTAGATGTTGAACAGAGAGACTTTGTCGCTGAGACAACAGCATCAAACATTTCAGGAGTGAGAGCGTCAATTAACTTGTTTACATTCGTATTTCCCTTAGTGTGCTCTATTGTTAACCTCCCAAGTTGCCGCATAGATTGTCTTATTAGTTCTCTCTGAGTGCTACCATATTTTTCATAGAGAAATGCTCCATATCGTAGAATGAGATCATCTTTGCGACATATTTCAGATATGTCATCATTTCGCAGCTTGTTCAAAATATTAGAACGAAAATCTTGTGTTAGGTTTTGCCCATAGATTCCATTCAGTAGGGAAGTACTCTCAGCAGCTGGTTGCCGTGATGTTTTCAACGATTTCAAAATATTTTTGTCCTTCATGCAGACACATGAATATTTAAGATGGTGCCATAGATGCCGTTTCTTCATGAAACCTAGACATTTGGGACAAGGACCATAATCAGAATATTTCAGAAACTTTTTTTCTTGTTCGGTTGGTCTACGTGATAAGACGAGTTCTCCCTTTTGCAATAAGAGTACGTCACAATTATGATAGAAGTCACCATTACGCTTCAGAGCATTGAAAGCATCTCTTCGTCTTTTGGAACATTTTGGCATACTCAGAATTTTGGCAACTTCCATTTCTTTATCATGAGCCCTTTCAAAATGTCTGGCTAAATTACGAAGCAACTTGTGACAAAAAAAACAACTATGGTCTTTATCCCGTATTCTCTTTCCACTAGATGTTTTTTTTGCACATATTATCTGGATATGTTGTTCTGTTTTTTTTCTGCAATTAGTAGAACTAGTTACATCGGAGAGGAGGTTATCGGTTTCCTGGTCAGTTACCAATGAAGAAAGGTTTCCGTTATTATGGACAGGTTGACTTTGTGAAAAGTGACCATTGTCATAATCAGTTGATAGCTCATTCTCAGGAGTTTCCGGTATAATCGAACTACTGCGGGACTCATCACTAGGTACGTATTCAGATTCAGATCCGCCTGAACCAAAAGGTTCGGGTTCTGATGATAATTGTTCGTCGTCTTCAAAATCCAATGCTCTAGCATTTTCCGAATTCGCGAGCCGCTCTAAATTGATTCGTTTTCTTGGTATGGTTTGAATTTGTGGACTAACATTGGTTGTTGTCAGTGATTCATCCGTAGTTGATGATATCGATGCATCTTGAAAATCTAAAATTGAAAAAATCGATTTCGTGATTTAATGTCGAGTTTCTAAAACCAATAGGTACTTTTTTTATACACTTCATCAAGATGTGACCTCAACGTTTCCCAGACAGCACTGGATATTCCTAGAATATTCTCTAAATATGCTAAAAAGGAGGAGTATATTCCGAATATTCATCGATTATTCCTAGAATATATACATGCCTCTGGAACATCTAGAAGGAATATTCCAAAGTGATGTTCAGGGAATATTCAGGTATGAATTTTCCAGGAATATTCCCAAATGAATATTTTCTCTTGTATATTCATGAAATATTCCCAACTGAATGTTCTGTGGGGTATATTCATGAGATATTCTCAACTGAATATTCTGTGGTGTATATTCATGAAATATTCCATGAATATTCCTATGTTTCTCAACACATAAATACCCATCATTATTTCAGAGTTGTGAGTATCGAACATAAAAATTAGATGTAAGGCGATTTTGAAACAAGAAGTGTTCATGATCCGATTTCGAACAACGCTCTCACAATAAATTGATATGAACATCATTATTCAATTCGATTACTGGCCTAGTGGTCAAGGCGTTGGTCTGATAGTCTTGAGGTCACGAGTTCGATCCCCACTAGGGTCACTTTTTTCATTTTAGGCTCGATTTTAGGATATGTTCATTGGAATATTCCAGGAATATTCAACATGGAATATTCTTTTGAATATATTCTATGAATATCTGAGGAATTCCCATTCGCATATTTAGAGAATATTCCACAGATATTCCAGAATATTCCAGATTATTTCTAGAATATTCCAATATTCAAAAAAGGATATGATAGGGAGATTCATGGAATATCTGGTACTGTCTGGGTTGTTTGTTGCGAGCAACTCAAAAGTGAATTATTTTTCCTGAGATGGCACCATATACAGGATGTTATGTTAGTAAGTGGCCAACTTCTAAGAGGTGGTTCTTGAGTAATTTCATGATGAAAAGTTCATATGACCAGAGCAGCTGCAGTAATGCTTCGTTTTCAAGATACAGTGTCGAACTTTTTCAAAAGAAGATAGGTTGATCGTGAATCAAGTAATGACTCAATTGGTACCTTTCACTACAGATAATAATTCAATATTTCAACAGAATCATATCGATTTTTGCGTTACTTATGGAAATGCGATTTGTTTCAATTCTTTGATACCCTGTATCCTGAAAATGGTGTATTGCAAGATCCATGTTCATATCAACTATTCGACTTGGAATAAATCTCAAAGCCAACTCTTGAAGTTTGGCCACATATTTTGATAACACCATGTATATTTTTGAGAAGCTGAATTCTTCGAGTACTATTCTTTCCGTTTACGTGAGTTTTGAATGAAGAATTCTGAAATTCACGAGTTTATTTTGTGGTCTGATATCCTAGATATAGTATTTATATGCTCTGACACCCAAAACATCCACATATCAATTTCAAATCATATTGGAGCATAATCACAGAACTTGTCTGTCATCTTGGAGCCACCATATTGAATTCTCGAATTTTGAAGAGAGAATCATAAGCTCCAACAACAAAAACCCTCGAAATTTTTACAAAAGAATCAATATCGCCGACTCCGAAACCCCGAAATACCAACAATGAATAGAATCAGATCATAATTACGAAACTTGCCCGCCATATTGGATTCGCTATCATGAATTTTTTACATTTTACAGGATTAATCATGAACTTCATCTTAGAAAACCCTCGATATAAATTTTGAATAGTATCTGATCATAATTACAGAATCCTTCCGCCATATTGGATCCGCCATCTTGGATTTCTGATTTTTGAAGCCAGAATCATGAACTCTAACCCCGAAAACCTCCCCCTCGACCTCCCCTGATATCAATTTCAGAAGGATTCGAATTATAATTATAAGACTCGTCCGCCATTTCAAATCCGCCATCTTGAATTTTTCAATTTCGATAGAGGGATTATCATTTCCGAACTAGAAAACCTCCATCTACCAACTTTGAATAGAATTGAATCATAATTACAAAACTCGATCCCAACACCGAAAACTCTCAGATAGCAAATTCGAATAGAATCGGATCATATCGCCATATTGGATCCGTCCGAAGAATTATAGCAAACCTTCATCGTCGACGATAGCACACCCGACATATTATTCCATACCAATATCGAGAAATGAGGCGAATGCTGTAGCGGCGAAGCCGTTCAAGAAACATGGGGAGTCTGGGAATTTCAGCAATAGCTCTCAACCGCTACCATCATCGTCTCATAACGGTAAGTATACAACTCTATTGGGAACACCACCAACATCTTCGTCTCAAATTTCAAGCAGTGATATTACAGTGTTTCCTACTGTAGATGGAACAACCGCGAACGACTTACAGGGCAAAATAATGAAGCATTTGAGGAATTTGTAAGAAAATAACTCGAATTATGATACAACATATGGCGTTCACATCGATTCCAAAACAGAAGAATTGAAAATGGGTAATATGGAAATCCGATTTCCTGCAGATCGAATCGAATTATGGCGCGGTAATAAGAGAAGCGTAGCGTTTCTAGCAACAACTGGATTATACGATTTGATCTTTATGAAACATGTGCCAAGAACTATCGATGATCAAGATAAAAGAATATACACCACTTTGTTGGAGACTACACGAGCGCCATATAAGAATTATAACATCAGAGAAAGTTTGAATAATAGTGCGAGGAAGAAATATCAGCTAGTCATCACTCAGCAACTCTACAACTCTTCTGGGCAACCAACATTTCAGACTAGCCTCAGTTTCTCAATCGTACAATATTACAAAATCGCTCCCACCAGACCTGGTTCCACAAAGTGATATTTTCTTGACCACATAGCTTTCATTCAAGAGTAGTGATGAGATAACAGTTTGCTTGATAATATCATTGTCTTCGTTAATTCGATTATTTATCGCTAACAAATCAATTTTAGGAGCTGCCATTATAAATTCTTCTCTGTTGAGTAAAAAGAGGTGTAAAAAGTATATGAATAATTTTTACTTACATATAACAGTTCACGTACACTTTTATTGCAAACACTTTATATTCCCAATCTATTTGAGCGGGTATATTTTTTATGTGCGAGTTGGTGGTGCGTATCTTCCGTATCATTAGGAGAACTATGCTCTCGCAGACGATACGATGATGTATTTATAGGAACTGGGATATGTGAGGTAACACAGCACCCCACTCCTACCAAAAACGACCTCAACCAGCCTACACCCATTTTCAAGGTCGCACACGCTATCACCTCCCTCTCCAAGGTCGAGGTCTCCATCTCTCTACAACTCAGGGTCAATCGTTCCCAAGGCCACATCAGCGAAGGTTACTCGTACAACCTTCCTTCAAGGTCACTTTATCTCGCCCTCAAGGTCACCTCCGCGTTCAAGGGCGCGCTGTTGACACTTAACTATACGAGGTTACTTCCGCCCAAGGTCAGACCCGTTCAAGGTCACTCCTGCCCAAGGTCACTTCAACCCAAGGTCACTCCGCCCAAGGTTGGAGGACGATGACCTAGGGCGGAGAGCCAGAACCGACCAATCTCAACTACTTCGACGGCAGAGTTACAGTGTAAACATAGTCGGAGTCGAAGTTTCTTGTTGTGCCTAGTTCCCAGTTCCTAATTCTAATTGATTTCTTTTATAGAGATATATAGTGTGTACGACGATGGAGTCGATGTATCCCCATATGCCTATTGTACTCGTTATATACCCTTCAGAGTCAATTCATACGGTCACTGCCATCGTATCTGCTTCAACTGTATGCATGTCAGATGCTTGACTGCAGAGTTACAGTGTAAACATTGTCAAAGTCGGAGTTTCTTGTTCTGCAAGCTTTGTGCGTCATTTCCGCTTGAAAGTCGTCTCATATGGTCAATGCAAACTTGTCTCCTTCAATAGTGTCAATGTGAGATGATAGGATAGAGAGATATAGTGTGCACAACGATGAAGTCGATGTTTCTCCATTTGCATATTGAACCCGTTATATACCCTTTAAAATCATCTCATACGGTCACTGTTATCCTATCTGCTTCAACTGTATGCATGTCAGATGCTAGACTGCAGAGTAACAGTGTAAACATAGTCGGAGTCGAAGTTTCTTGTTCTGCGAATCGTGTGCGTTATGCCCGCTTGGGAGTTGTCTTCTATGGTTAATGCGAACTTGTCTGCTCCGAAAGTGTCCATGTGAGATGATAGGATAGAGATATATAGTGTGTACGACGATGGAGTCGTTGTATCCCCATTTGCCTATTGTACTCGTTATATACCCTTCACAGTCGTCTCATACGGTCACTGCCATCGTATCTGCTTCAACTGTATGCATGTCAGATGCTGGACTGCAGAGTAAC